CTTCCCCATTTCCTGACGAATTCGATCAATGCCACTGTCTTGCAAAGCGATTCAACAGAAAAGTTTATTTTTCTATTGATGTAGAAGATTTTTCAGCAGCAGCTGCCTTGATAAGAAGTTACAAATGGGAGCTGTAAAGTAAAAAAGATGAGCTAATACCAATTTACTAAATTGTTTTGTTTGATTGTTTCTGCTTTTCAGGAAGGGATTAACTTTTAATTGTTCCTTTTCAAAAGTAAATCTATGAGTGCAGTCTTATAAAAGCAGACACCCTTCTTCAAATTACAAGATGAAATGTCGTTGTTGGCTTGACTCAAATAAGATCATGCTCATGTTTTGTCTAAGAAGACCTGCCCTCTGGGTTTTTAATGAAGGACTTGTGTTTTCATCTAGACTGTAATGATACTGTTTAATAACAGACAGAAGGAAGATTTCATTCAGTCTTTGTGTCCTGGTGAGTCTGTGCTACTGTGTCCACTCGGTGTTCTTTGCTTCTGCAATATGAAATAAGCAATAAACCGCGTTTGATGAGCATTGAGATGTCTGCATCAGTGTCCATCTTTCTATTTTCTGACTTCTCCTGTCTTGCTGTGGTTGAACTGCTGTGTAATTTACTAGCTGGTTTTCTTGACAGGCTGGCAGTGCTTGGTGGGGGACAGGTAGCAACCTGGTACCTTGGAAACAACACTTCCGTTGTACAGATCAGGGCTGGCCCTTGGCTCAGGTGACGAAGGACACTGCCTAGGTCCCTAGAGGCCACCAGGGGGCTCCCTCAACATGCAACACATTCTTTTACTCAGCACATTAAAATGCGAGCCAAAACAATTCCCTCCGATGGTTCAATCTATTGCTTTTGTGCTAACCTAGGCTGTTTGTCAGCTATAAATGACAATATTATTAGCTGTGAATGTAAGTGGAGCAGTTTATTTCACTGTCAGTGTAGCAAACGACTCTCATGTTCGCCGTAAGATGACCGTATCGGAATGGTTTCAGCCGCTGGTTCCGAATGTTGCGCTGTTAACACGTTCTGGTTCGGAGCTGATAACAGGAGCGTACTGTATGAGCTAATCCTGATCTGGAAGCATCCCCTTCCAAGATCTTGCCTAGGGTCCGCAAAATGCTAGGGCCGGCCCTGATAAAGATATTCAAAAGTTATAGGTGAGCTCTCTCTTTGTCAATCGACTGATGGTTTAGTTCACTGCCAGCAGGCGGGCACGAGCGATGCAGTTTTCCCAACCATGACAGTAGACGCCATCTTGCGGTGAAGTGCAGCAGATCAAAAAAGTCGGTTTCTGTGTGTTTTACAAACTTTAATGAATGTTATACGAGAATCTCCACACCGTCTTATTTTAGACATTTTTAACCCCGCACAGTAACACCATAGCGCAACCTCAAGCTGAGTCACCCTCAGCACCGTTAAAACAAAATAAAATAGTTTAAGTTAAACCTACAAAAAGCAAAGCCTGCAGTGGTAATTCTTAGGTACTTTGTGAATGTACAATGTGATTTTGGGGGGATTTTCTGTACTCTGCTCAGACAGGCAACATCCCTGCTCCATGAGATGGGTTTGTTTTAATCAAGCTCAACACCCAAGGATCTCCATACTGGGCTGCATCCAAAGATAAACGACACATTCAACAGCACATCATCTGTCTTGGGGACTCTCATACTAACACCGGGGAACACGGGATCCTATGGAAGCTACCTTTTATTATATGTTATAAGTTATTTATAACTTTAAACTCTGGACGTGAGTCCTTTGCAGGGCACACACAGACGCAAACACACAAACCAAGGGCCAATTTTCCCAGAAGCCAGTTAACCTACCAGGACATGGAGGAAATCCACACAAACACCATTCAGATAGTACCCTATGAATTGAAACCAGGGCCACATTACACAGCAGAAATGCTAACCATTGTGCTAACCATAAACAGAGTGCTGTGCTAGTGCCGTGAAGCTCTAGAGTCCTTATATATATATGCACAGTGTGAACCTGTACCTCCACTGGCTGGGGCTTTATTGCTCTTTTCTGGCCAGGGCTCCAGGACTTGAATGGGGGCTCGTGGGTCTTTGTGGTGTAAACTGAGCCCCCAGTGCCTTACTCCCACACCCTGCTCCCAGTGCCTGGCTCCCCTTAACCCCCAGGTGACCTGGCCCACCTGAGCAGGTAACCCTCACTGCCTTTTCCCCAGCCTCGACCTCCCCTCGGGTTCTGGGACTGAATTGGGACCTGATTGCAACTCATTCGAGCCCGTCAGTGCTCACAGGATCATTAGGTTCCCCCAGACTATCCGCGCTTAATGGAATGTGGGGTTCCCCCAGCCCATCAATGCTCACTGGATTGCAGGGTTCCCCCTGCCTTTCTGGGCTCACAGAACTGTGGGGTTCCCACAGTCTGTCTTGGGTTTAAAACAGAAAAAAAAGAAAAGTACAAGATACAAGATTTTGATACTAGAAACTCTAAAGTTCCTAAAAATCACCACTTAGTCTTGTGTTGCAGGAATTTTTAAAAACATAATTTCATATTACTAAGAGCAAAGCATTTTGGAGCCTTTTTGAATGAACCCAAGCTTGCTAGAAGACATTGAAGCTTTTCAATGGCTCTTGTCTTCAATTTGTTACATTTTCTTAAATGTACCAGCCACACCTCCCCTTATCTTGTCACTAGTGATAGGGGTTATACTTCACCACTGGAGGTGACGCATGTCTGTGTTTTTCCATTAGACTCTGTAAAATAGCGTACCAGAATACAAAAACAAAACAAGAATATTTTGACATCCCTGTAAAGTGAGCCTCTGGTATGATGAATACTGTCGGTCAAACACAGAGACCAAAGAAAAGGTTTTTTTTTTAATTGTTCGAAAGAGGTCCCAGTGTTGCAGAATAAAATCCTAAACATGGGATTATTGTTAGTCTCCGTATTTTTCTCTTTATCAGTACATTTTTCAGTGTCTTATTTCTTAAAAAGAATTTGCTTGGGAAAAATTTACATCAGAGAAAATACCCTGTCTATATCTGCTAGTGTGGAGCACATCCGCAAAGACAGAGCCAGGCACCAGACTCGGGACCCTAGAGTTTGAAATGACGGCTTCACCAGCCCTTCTCCTTGTCCCAGTGGATCTCCTCTCACATTCCCTGTCCCACTCTTCCTCTCTCACTCCCTCTCACTCCCTCCCTGCCCTCTGCTCTCAGTACTACACCCCTGCACCCCCACTGTCTCCCCTTCAGACACCCCAGCTCTGGAGTTATATCATCCCCAGACTCCTTTTCTCCCTTCCTCTCCTCCTCCTCCTCTCTCCTCCTGCACTGTGACCCCAGTGTGCTCCCTGAGGAATGTCTCCCTGAAAGACGCTGCTCGTCAGTTCTGAACAGCGGGAGTACAAGACTGTCAGCAGGAACCAGCACACTGCGGGAGAACATCAGAGAGCCACCTGAGAGCCACCCGTCTTCGGCTGCTGGATATTGAGGTGTCTCTTCATTTTTCCTAAATATTTCTTAGACAGTAAAACAAATAAATATCTAATATTTTTGAATTAATAAACAATATTATTATATTGTACGTAAAATATATACAATATAATATGTTATATTGTACATTATATTGTGTCTTATATTGTATTGATGGGAAAAAAGAAACGCAACATTTTCAGGAATGAGAATACTAGAGTTATAGTTTATGTATTTTTGCAAAACGTTGTCAATTTGTTTTAAGCCCTCTGACCAGCAATACAGCTTG